AACAACAGCAGAGGGCCTGATGGGTAGATGACGGTGTTACTCACTGAGACAGAGCAACAACAGCAGAGGGCCTGATGGGTAGATGATGGTGTTACTCACTGAGATATAGGGGAACAACAGCAGAGGGCCTGACTTGGGGTAAAAATCACAAGTTTGGCTTCAGATATGTTGAGGCTGAGGTCTTGTGGAAGCTTTTATATTCAGCTGTCTAAGATCTCTACAGGTCTGTACTAAAAGTCCAAATTTATGAATTATCTGTGACAGAAGAGGGGCATGAATGAAATGACTTAGGGAGAAAATATAAGTTGAAGAAGAAGACAACTCAGGATCAAAGTTTGAAGAAAGTTAACATCTAAAGGCCAGGTACAGAGATTGAGAAGGAATAGCTAGAGAGGTTTCTGGGTCACAGAAGCCAAAGGAGGATTTAGTTCAAAAAGGAGGTAACAGTCAACAGAGAAGAAAAAACTGATAGTGTAAGGTTCTTGAGAAGATCAGGGAAGATGGGATAAAAAGCATAGGCGGAAGAATTGGCCTTGGACTTGAAAGGTTGGCAGTTCAAACCCACCCAGAGACCTTTTGGAAGATAGGCCTGGCAACCTGCTTCCAGAAGTCACAGAAAACCCTATGAAGCAGATCTACTATGTACACACAGGGACATCATGAGTCAGAATCAACTCAATGGCAACAAACAACAACAAAAACAGTGAGGTGTTGAGGCAGTTCTATCCTCTCCATGAAAAGGTGAAAATTTTGCCAAAAGGGAGGGGAGAGAGTAGGGGCTGAAGGTTTAAGAGGAGTAGAGTGGGAGAGAGTTGACCACGGGAACATAAAAAGATGGTTGGGCCATGTTAAGAAACTGTCTGAAATACGTGATCATGAATTTAGAGGGAATCATTCTGCCCTGTTATGTTCTGTTTTCTAACAGTGCTTGCTGCTCTGTGGACACATAGAAAACATACAGTTAAATGAACTAACAAATAAGGATAAAATAAGTAACTGAAGTCAAAGTAACTTGACAAATTGAAGGAACAGAAGCAAAGATGCTAATGAGATAAGGATCCCAATTCCTCTTAATGACCCATAAACAGCACCCTCACCCTGTCCCACTGCTAACCTTTAGTAGAGCCGGAGGCTGAAGCAGGCCGAGAGGACCGTTTACGATGTCCATTTTCCATACTTTCAGAAGCCACGGGTGGCTCTTCAGTTCGGGAGTTTCTTCGGCTTGGGGCTTTGGATTTTTCAACTATCTCTTTGGGCTCACTGCTGACAAGGAGAAGCACAAGTTTCCAAGGAGGTGAGGGAATCAAGTAACACACAAAAAAAGGGCTCTTCAGATACAGTTTCATTCATCAGGCAGGAGAAAGCCCACAGAAAGAGAATACTCCCCTCCCCACCTCAGGCATTCTGGGGAGAAAATTCCCCACTCTACCCCGGGACAGTGAGTATAACTACCTTCTGTATTGCTGAGAATTTAAAAGTTTGTCTAGCCTTTTACACTAGTAAAAATAAAATACTAAAGCACAGTGCTGGTGAAATAGTGGAAAAACAGGTAAAAGACAAAGAACTTGGAACAAAACTGCCAAACTTCCTTACTCATTTTCTCAAGCCTTTTTTAAAAATGAAAAGATTTTGAATTTTATAATTTTTTAGAGTCTTGAAAGGATGTTTAAGATGTTTGAAAAAAAAAAAATTGATACTCAAAATAGCATCTACAATCTAGGAAATTACTAATATATACAGTATTGGCATTTACTGTGAGTCTGGTACAGCCAGATAATGGTACATGTCAAGTAACATTACGGGAAGAATATTCACAGGAATATATTCATATACTGATTGCCCCCATCCCATCCTCCGTTTTGAGTATGCAAAGATTTAAAATTGTTAATGTTCAGGGTTACTGAGGGTACAGGGAGTAAGACACTTTCATCCAATCCTAGTGGAATGTAAATACATGCAACTCAGTGCTTCTCAACAGGGGGTAATTATGTCTCCTTCTGGGCATTTGGCAATGTCTAGAGACATCTTTTTTACTGTCACGATTGAGGGGGGCTCTACTGGAGTTTAGTAGGTAGAGACTAGGAATGCCACCAAATATCCTAATGAATAAAAAAGCTGCTCCAAAATGTCAGTGATGCTGAGGTTGAGAAACACTGGTGTAACCCTCTTACTCGGTAATTCCATTTCAAGGTGCCTGAGGAAACAAATCTTATTACAGAGTCTTAATTACAAGGATAGAGTCATATTTTATTTGTACCGTGAAAACAGAAGACCTAACAATAGTACACTAGTTAACTAAATCGTGGCATACAGTATGCAAAAAAAAAAAAAACCACCAAAAACTAAACTCACTGCCATCAAGTAGATTCCGACTCACAGCAACCCTTTTTGGGTTTCCAAGGCGGTAAATCTTTACGGAAGTAGATTGACCAGTCTTCCTTCCGTGGAGTGGCTGGTGGGTTTGAAGCGCCAACCTTCTGGTTAGCAGTCAAATGCCTTAGGCACTACGCCACCAGAGCTCCTTATGCAGTCATGAAAACTCATGTTGCAGAAAAAACTGTTCACGATGCATTATTAAATGGGAAGGGAGAAGTTAACAATGGTATAAACAGTAAAATTCCATTTTCATTATAATATATAATAAGTATATATTTAACCATATATGAATGTAAGGATGTGAGAGATATATTAAATGTGACACTCTATCTACATCATGTACACACACTCTGAGAAGAGGACTGGAAAAAGATGAACTAAAATATACATTGTGGATACTGCTGAATTATAGTCTACGGGTGAGTTATTTTCTTCTCTGAATTTCAAGTTTTAATTAATAAACTTTTTACTACTTTTCTGGTTCAAAAAATCATTAGGAATAAAAAAGAAGCTGATTAAATTTGGTTGCAAGGCATGGAACCAAAATAATGGGAGAGGAAAAACAACACTGGTCAAAAGGACACCTCTTCTGGGAAGTATTCCATGACCTCACTCCCCAGCTGGAGTTCTTTCTTCTATCCTTTGGTTCACAATCTGTACCTGGCATTCTAGAGCACTCATCAGACAGTACAGCATTTTCTACTTTAATGTCTTGTGTCTTCTACTAGATTATGAGCTCCTTCAGGGCACAAGCCATGGTCTGACAACTATCAAGTATCCCTACTCCTCCATCATCCATTTCTGCTGGAGGATCCTTCCACAATGTTTGGGAATTTGGCCACTCTGTTCACTACCCCAGCTTTATGGATAACAGCTGACCCACACCAACTGCAAGGCAAATCAAGAAGTGAGGCTGGACTGGAATTACAAGTCAGAGGGATTTACACTTCTCCTTAGGAGTGGTGAGGATGTCTTTCTGGCTGGGAGCCCAGAAAATTGTCAAAGCCTCTGAGGGAGGAAGATTCCTATTGGAGGTGCCTCTTTCTCCAGGCCAAACAAAAGCCACAGCAATATATTCCTGGCGTTTATATGCCAATGTTCAAGAACCTCTGGAAACAAATACCCAGAGGGGATGTTTGGTCTGGTTAGCTTCTTCCTCTAGCCACATAGTTGGTATACGCTTGAAAAACACAAATGAATTCAAATACTAGCTCAACACAAACACCGCCAAATAGGCTGAGTGGAGTAGTAGAAAGAGCAATGAATATGAAGTCAGAATAACAGAGGTCAAGTCTTAACCATGCATTTATTGGCCATGATATTTAACTCTCACTAAAGCTTCAGATGCTTGATCTATATAAATGCCCATTTTGTCTGCTGCAATATAGAGAGGTTAAGAGTGAGGGCTCTGGAGTCAGAAGGCCTGTCCTTGAATCCCATCTTTAGCATTTACTGAATCTGTGACTTTGGGCAATTTAGTTAACATCTCTGGGCCTGAGATTCCTTACCTGTAAAACAGAAATTACTTTCCTAAAAAAATTCAAAGCCATTGAGTCAATTCCGACTCATAGCAGCCCTCACTGGGTTTCTGAGCTGGTAAATCTTTACAGAAGTAGTTTGCCCTATCTTCCTTCCACAGACCTGCCAACCATCTGGTTAGTGGTCCAATGCCTTAGGCATTATGCCACTAGAGCACTTTCCTAATAGATCCTGTGAAATCTAAATGGGATAATACAACAACAGAGGTCATAGCTCAAGGTGTGGCAAGGAAAAGCAACATTCAAATAAATGTTGACTATTATTACCACCTTAAGGGTTGATAATGAGGATTAAACAAAAAAATGATTGTGAAGGTGTTTTATAAACTAAGCTGACAATGTTGTTCTTGTTGCCACCGTGTGATTCTGACTCCTGGTGGCTCCGTGTGTGCAGAGTAGATGTGCTCCACAGGGTTCTCAAGACTGTGACCTTTTGGAAGCAGATTGCCAGGCCTGTCTTCTGAGGTGCCCTGGGTGGGTTCGAATGGCCAACCTTTCAGCTGGCAGTCGAACACTGAACTATATGCACCACTCAGGGGACTCCTAAGTTGATATACAAATATGAAAAATTCTTAAAAACGTTATCTAGTGCATTCCTACAGTAAAAATGGAATGACTCTTGGAAAACCATACTCCTCCTCTACATGGGGCTGATGAGGCTAAAGCCATAGCTGCACTTCATTCTGTTAGATTATGTGGGGGCAAAACAGTGTAACAGAAAGAGCACAGGTTTTAGGGTCCGACCCTGCCCTCTGGCTTTCACTCTTTTGCCTTGGCTCATTTATAAATGGGGATGAAACAGCTATATTTCAGGAGGTAGTTACAAGGACTATTACCAATGACAGTGGTAACACCAAAATTCACACCAAACCCACTGCCATCAAGTTGATTCTGATGCATAGTGACCCTATGGAACACGGTTTCCAAGGCTGTAATAGAAGCAGACCGCCTCATCTTTCTCCCACAGAGTGGCTGGTGGATTCAAACTGCTGACCTTTTGGTTAGCAGCTGAATGCCTTAACCACTGCACCATAAAAGCTCCTATTTATTGAGCAGTTATTATTTACTCACTGTGGTGAGAGCTGAACATGTCATCTTACTCAGTTTTCAAAACAACCATAAAAGGTAGAAATTTACCCATCAAGTTTTATTAAGAGAAATATTACTTCTGAAGGGTTAGGACTCATGATAGCTCCGTACTGTAGCAGGAAAAACAGATTAGTGAAAGAGTGAAGGAAAAGGCCAAGGTAAGGAGAGGTTTAAAAGCTGAGAAAGCTGATATCCATCTGTCAAAGAGGCTTACACTGTATGCATGCTGAGTATGCAGAAATGATCATCTTACCTTTGCCCAGAGACTATGGCAGCATTTGCCTCAAGTTCTGTAAAAAATACAAGGGACAAAAATGAAATGTGGAAGCTGCTGATGTATATGTCCACAGAGAGAAGCTAGGTGTCTACAAGAATTCTGATGTCCTATTCAGGCTGAAGTGTCTCAGTGCCCAGGACTCTTAACCCTCCACGGTATAGACAGAGTTGGCATGGACACAACTTGGTTTGTCTGCGGCACAAGACATTTGGTCTATTTTTATTTCTACTCCACACTGTGCAATAATCTTGTTTGGGTCAATAGGACTAAACTCACACTGCCTAGATCACATTTTACCCAGCTGCAAGGTCCTAAGAAGAGTTGATGGTTTTGAATTGTGTTGGTGAAGAACACTGAAGGTACCATGGACTGCCAAAAGAACAAACAAATCTGTCCTGGAAGATGTGCAGCTGGAATGCTACTTTGAAGTGAGAATGGCCAGACATCGTCTCACCTGCTTTGGTCATGTGGTCAGAAGGGACCATTCCCTGGAGAAGGATATCATGCTTGGTAAAGTGCAGGTTCAGAGAAAAAGGGGAAGGCCCTCAATGAGATGAAGTGACACAGTGGTGCCATGAGGGGTTCAAATACAGCAAGGTCTGTAAGGACAATGCACAACTAGGTAGTGCTTCATTCTGTTGCACACAGAGTCACTATGGGTTGGCGCTGACTCAATGCACCTAACAACCTCAACTAGGTTAGTAAAATAAGCCTCTTCCTCTCAAGTGGAGAGGCAGTTTTCATTCTTAAAATATTTCCATGCTTTTGACACTTTTTTTTTAAGACCATAATCTTCAAATAGGTCTTGAACATCTATAAAGGATGTATTCTACTCCTAACCTCTCTGAATTTTAGAGGGAAGCCTGCTTTGCTTCGAGGTATTCTCTATAGACCTAATTCTGTTCCTTTCTTCCTCAACCTCCTAGCAATGCCCTCCAAGAAAGGAAAAACTCAATGATTTGTCTAGCGGGCTTCTGTATAAAAGAGCACTCTCTGGGTTTCCTAGGCACTTCTTTCTCAGCACCAGCAGAAAAATCTCTCTTCCTCCATCATAAGCCTTTAGACAGTTCCATCTATTAAAAAAGGCCCTCCATGATGCACCAGATAGCAGAGATCTCTCCTGCCTTGGTCTCCCACTACCCATACCCTTCCCCCGCCTCAGGGCACCCAGCACCTCATACTCATTGTTAAGACTGTTCATGTCTAACTCATCCTACTAATTACATGGTAACCTCCCATGCAGAAGGCAGTGAAGTCAGAGGGCCTGGGTTCAAATTTTGACCTCATTGCTTATTATTGCCATGTGACCTTGGGCAAACTGCCTGACTTCTCTGTGCTCAATGCCTCACCTGAAAATGGGGATTACCTCTTTACTGACTTCAAAATTAAAAATATTAATTAAATAATGTATATAAAAATTTTAGTACAGTACCTGACATTCATTAATCACTCAATATTAGCTGTTATTTTTGCTATGATAATCATGTTGATGCACCCTTTCACATGAGGAGGCTAGACCACTCTGCCTTCAGTGCAAGATGCTGGCAAAAAAGAATCCTTGCTTCTCATTTGCTGTTTAGCAACTAGTATCTAACCCACATCATCTGGGAACCCCTTCACAAGAAGCAGGTACCAACCCATTGAGTCTCTGCTACCTTGCTGGATAGGCTGGAGCATACAAGCTCAGGGTACGTGTGCTAAACATGAATATGGCTCAAGTCGGAAGAGTGATAACCTTGATTAGTGTGCTCTTTGGAAACAAGACAAAATTCAGAGTTTTTGAGCATTTAACACTTCATTGCTAGTTCACATAAGGAAACATCAAAGAGGTTTGGCAAAGGTAATTAGTGGCTCTGTGGGTATTTCAAGGAGATTTATTCAACCCAGACTCTTAAAAGGAACAAGATTCTTTGATCAATTACTCTGAAAGGAAGACACATGATATGGTACAGTGCATTTTCTGAAGGAAAGAACTGGAACAGGAAATGGGATTCCCTTCCCCTTTTTAGCAACTCCTTTTCTCACCAAAAATGATTTTCACTACCTATCCCACTTCTTGAAATAATCTGTTCTGTCACATCCCTTCCAAATGTCCAGCATAAGCCAGGCATCATGTAATTGGTTAGCAAAAAAGGAAACTATGTGGATGCCATATTTTTTGCTCACACATTCTTTTCAGAGCCTGGTTTTCCTCAGAGAGTATACAGTATAAAGTCTTCTCCAGCACACAGGATGTAGCATCCTGAAGCAGGGTAGACAATAATCACAAGCCATACCTTACTGTTCCTGGCTTAGATTCACAAAATTAAACATGGTTGCACTGGTGCTTTTTCTTACTAATTTTGTTAAGTATGTGAATTGTACTTTCAATGACATTCTAACTTACTTGTGGGAAGCAATCATACCCCCTCAATGACCTACAGTGACAAAAAGCAAGGCAAGACCAAACTGTATCCTATCTATTATATTTTTCTGCATTAGCCGTCTGATCTATGAACACAGAACAGTGAGCACTGCTACTGCCATAAAGAACCCCATGCATTCAGATCTGACCCAGCATCATGTAACAGTATTTGTCAGGTTACCAAGACTCCTTCCAGATATACCATCCCCAGGGCTACTTACAGTATTTTGGGAGAAGCTCAATGCCATCCAGAGATGTCGGCAGTGACTTTGACTCCCTAGGGAAATGGCTTTCTTACTGAACAAGCCTCCATGGCTGTCATGATAATGCAACTACTATCTCAGTGCATTAATATCTGCCACTCCAGTGAGTTACCATATGCCAGCCAGTTAGCTGCCAGCCATGGGTGCCAGGGCCATGGAACAGGGAAAACTGCAATTGAAACTGCCCATGGTTGGGTGGCAAACAGGCAACAGGCAACAGGCACTGAGATGCCTTTCTTGGGTTCTCTGGCTGACACCAGGAGCGCTTAAGAGAGTAAGCTGGTTGGGGAGAAACAACCTCAAATAGTATTGTACAAGCTCTGCCACTCAACCGAGGTTGGCTCTGAAGCTGGTAGTTCCAGTCACCTCTTGGTATGAGAACACATGACATGAGGACAGCAGCAGTTCCTTTACATGGAACCTATTCTACTCCAAGAAGTTTTCCCAAAATGCATCTTACCTGGTCGAGCAATAGACCCCTGCAGTGCTGTGGCTGGAGTTTCCTTTGAGATTAAACTCTGTGAAGAGGCTAGGGCAAAAAAAAAAAACCAACAACAAAAAAAAACACAAGCCTTTTACTTTCTACTTTCTTTTCTAAATAGAATACATAAACTAATTCAAGGGCTAGGTAACTGCTGAAACACACATTTTTTAAAATGAAGGGCAATTCTTTAAGTTGGGCTTGAAATTACATTTCAAAATCTAATTTTAAAATTAAGTAATGTAACAATTAACAAAAACTAACACTTAGGGGTATTGATACATGTACAAATATCAGAGGAGATGGCCATGAGGACAACAGCACCCTTATTTTTTGCTTACTGGTGTCAAGTTCTGCCCAACACTCTAAAAAGCACAAAAGCACACCTTAGTACGCAGCCCAAATCACTTTCAGAAGAATGGCTACACCATTCACCTGACTCTTCTACAGCACCTAAGCAAGAGTGATTGACATAAAGCAGGTATTCAATTCATACTTAATAAACCAATTTGATAGGATTGATTTATCTAACAAATAGTTACCAAGAGCTTATTAGGGGCAAGGCACTGTGCCAGGCACTGTTGTCCTCTTTGCCCATCAGGAACTCAGTCTAGTATTAAAGAAAAGATATATACATGTGGTACACTGGAGTGCACTGTGAAGGCACAAAAAGGAGAGACTGTGTGCAATCCTACAGGAGTCCAAAGGAAGAGCAATTCTAGATTGAGAAATCTGAAGGTACATTAATGGGAGAAACATCAGAATTGGGCTTTGAAGGACAGAGAGAACTTAGGCCCTTGAAGAGGAATGGAGCTGAATACACAATGTACTCCCAGAACTTCACCTTCATGGATTATAGGGTAAAGATTAAGAAAACGGCACAGGTATGCCACAGTCACTCAAGAGCACGTCCTCCCATGTCGACATTTCAGTCTAGCTAAATCTGCATCTCAAATAAACTGCAACAGTAAAGCAGTCAATAATGCATTTATGTGAAGAATTTATTTTGGACATATATTTTACATCTTAAAATATATCTTAACTTCTACTTTTAACTTTAGTAATGGTTTCTCACATTTTCAAGGTGAAAGCACAGAAGCCTTATGAAAAAGAATGGAAACACGCATTATAAGGAAAATGGGCAGCTTTAACTAAAATTGAGAATTTTCCAACTCCTGGTTTCATCTCCTCAAGACCCATATATTTTTCTAGTATTACATATGATCCAGATTAAAGTATTTTCCAATCACTTTACCATTAATTCTCTTGTTACCTGAGGGAAAAGTTCCCCAAGAAGAAATAGACATAGCAACATTTAACAGCAGAGAATATATTTAAGTCACACCAGGTTTCTTTTTAATTCTTAGGGTTCACCTGTATCTCTAGCCCTGAGTTGAGGAGGCAGAGAGGAGAAGGGGAATTAACCTTCCCAGAACTCTGTATGCTGGCTACTTTACCTAAATTCTCTCATTCAATTCTTGTATCAATTCTGGAAGGGGGAATTACCATGTTACAGTTGAAATACAGAGCTAAAAAGAAGTTAAGGAACTTATCCACCTGTACTTTGTAACCAGTGTGGCTAGAATTTGAAGTCTGACCTTACGCTGAAGCTTGTGTTCTCCTTACCCTTCCTGAGTGCTTAGAACTCAGTGGTGGGCACTTGAAGCTTTGCACCACTGAGGCCTCATAGGAGGAGCACACGTGAGAGGGAGGGAGGGGACGTCTAAAGACACCCTATACTTCCATCACTGTTGTTGTTGTTGTTATGTGCCAAGTCAGACCTGACTCACAGAGAACCCTCCTTGGGTTTCTGAGGCGGTATCACTACGGAAGTAGATTGCCCAATCTTCCTTTCGAGGAGTGGCTGGTAGGTTTGAACTGCTTCTGGTTAGCAGTCAAATGCCTTAGACACTATGCCACCAGAGCTCCTACACTTCCATCACTAGTCCACCTTAACTGAACACAGGAAATAACCTGAATACATGAATGGAAAGGATCAATTTACAAAGAGATTGCATTTATTGAATAATTACTATGCTTCAGGTCCTGTGCTAAGCATGTTACATGCACTATCCCTCACAGAATTCTTACAACTACTACTGTCCCTGTATTACACAGGAGGAACTGAAGTTTAGAGGGGTCAAGTAACTTGCCCAAGCCCATACAGTTGGTAAATGTTGGTGCTGTGACACCAACCCAAGCCTATATGACTCTTAACCACTCTGTTCCTCCTGTGTGTATTATCATGAAACCTGGCTTTCTGGGAAGCTCTCTGATGGGGTAGCCCAGACAGAAAGACAATGATCCCTGGGATAGTGTACAATAACGACGGGTGTATGAGAACTCTGTTTTGAAACAGTTGAGAATAAGTCTCTGTCATGGCAAGGAGAACCTGCAGAGGCTGCTATTCACATGTAAGGGAGAGTGTCATACTGGAGGGTCACAGTATAGACTCTGAAGAAATTTACAAACTTCTGTGAACTTTGCTTTTCATCCATAGGATAGGGTTAAGACTACATGACATGACTGGCATGAAGATAGGAGATAATGTATGTAAAAATGTTTCCTTGTAAACTGAAAAACTTTTATTGTACAAATGAAAGGTGTATCATCATCTTAGGAGCTAAGAGAACCCTGCTAATGAATGTCAACTTAATATGGCATTGGGAAGTGAATCCTCCAATGCATTACCAATAAATAAAACTACCACTATCATTTAACCCATTCTTCTTCCTCAAAGTAGAAAAGGAGTCATGCTCTCTCTTGTATAGGTCATCAACAAACTCTGACACGAGGAGAAGATGCCAGTTCTCAAGTACATACCTATGCTGGGTAGAAGCTCTGGATGGGATCCCACCTTCTCCTCCACTAGGCCACCCGCAAGTGGCTCAGATGCTATGCCACCATGATTGTTTTTTGTGGTCGGCGCCGTGGAGATGAGCTCAGAGGGTACCAGAGTGGTTACCATTGAACGTACACTGGTGGGGAGAGCACCGCCTGGTAAGCTGGGTCCTGCTGAGGCGGAGCCCGGGCCTACAGGGCTAGAGGTCATTTTTAGCAGAGTGGGTGCTGGGGGTGTTGGGGTTTTACTGTCCAGCTCTGTGGATAACTGGTCTGTTCCCATGAGCCCTGGAGCTGTAGTCTCTAGCCCTTGGCCTTCAGTCTCTCCATCTGCACCATATTGCTCTTCCCCTTTCTCAAGAGAGCCCGTGACTTTCTTACATGCCTTGGTCAGTAAAATCTGGCCAATTTTGTCCACCTTTCCTTTGCCCTTACTAGATGAGACTGGGCTTCGCCGGTTGCCAGAGGAGCCTGGACTATTGGTCAAAAGGGGAGAAACCATTGTGGATGACTGTGAGGAGGGCAGAGTGCTCTGATCTGCTGAGGTGCTCACCTGAGGACTAGCCTCATCTGGATTCAATTCTTTCACTTGCTGGATGGGGAGATGAGGAGGGACAACTGGAGTAGTTGTACAAGGGGGAGAAGGAAGCTGAACAGGGGTGGCTCGTGAGTTAAGGACCAAGGATCGACCTGTCTGTATGTTAGGAGCAGGGCTATTGGAGGGCGCATTAGGTGGTACAGGGGCAGAAGAAAACTTTATGTTCTGAGGTATGTGTAAAGGGCCAACGACTGCGACAGAGGGAGGCATCAAGCCAGAGGTGGTTGTCAGTGGAGCTGCGGGAATTGTGCTTGGCTGTGATCCTTTCATAACCTGAATTATTGAAGATGAGTTGATAAAGACAGGTGTTATGAACTGAGGCCGGGCATTAGACTGAGCAGCTGACTGTCCCTCAGAAACCATGACCTTGCTACCCACATTGGGCATTGTGACGACTGTTGACATTAACGCAGACTGCAAATGGGTTGGCAGAGCTGCTGATGTGTTAGCTGAAGTTGTGATGGGATTGGAAGTTACAAAAACAGTTATCTGGTTTGGGGGCAAGGGAGCAGAAATGGAGGAAGAGCTGACAGGTCTTGACATGACTGGAGGGATGCTTGGTGCAACATTAGAACTGACCTCACTCAATTCTGGATGCACCTGGGTCGAACACGGCTCATTACTATGAGGTAAATTTAGGGAATTAGAGGGTTCTTTAGAAGAAGACGGATCCTGCAGTGTGGGAATGACAGAAACTTTTTTGAGGTCCTCCCCAGAAACTACTGGATGTGTTACTTCCAGATCTGTAAGCCCAGGGGGTTTAATGGTCACATTAGGAGCTCCAGAGTTGTCAAGAAGTTGACTTAATGATGTTGGTGCTTCCCTCATAGCAGGAGACACCACATTTTTGTTCTCTTCGACACTGGGAAGTTTGTTAGGATCCGAAGGTTGTCCATCCTTTTTGGACTGATCTTCAGGGACAACCATTTTAACTTCTTGGGCAGGGACTGCTTTTAGCTCAATATTTACCTGTTCCTTCCTACCCTGGGAATTCTGGCAATCGCTGTCCTGAGGCACATTCAAGCTCTCCTTCTTATCCTCGAGAACACCCCCAACTGCAGCCACAGGCATGGTGGGATTCTGAGGATTCAGCCCGCTGTTGTTAGGAAAACTCCCAGGTCCAGGGGGATTGGCCAAAGGAGTGGGACTGACCAATACATTCCTCGGCAACTCCACATTCTGCAACAGAGCTGCGTTTGTTTGAGAGGTCAAAGTAAGTTTAGGGGCTTTTGAATTTTGCCTCCCAGGACTTGGGGTAGTTTTCCTACTGGACCCAGGACTAGACCTGCGACTGTTGCTTGGACTTGCCCGTTTTGTTCCTCCAGAGTTAGACTGCTTTCCAGAATTCACCACCACAGAATCTAACTTGTGAGTTTGGGGGGCAGCAAAATTGGAAGGATTATTCATGGTTAGATTTGAAGGTGCTTGCCCAATGGCCTTCAAAGTTGTTGGGTTTAGGCCCTGTTGATCAAAGCCCCTGTTTAAATTTGGCCTAGGAGGTAAAGGAATATTAATCTGTGGGGGGAAGAGTCCTGCTATGGAGGCATTGAGTCTTTCTGGTGACAGACTGATCTCTGAAGGTTCTGTGCTGGGAGGGCGGTTGTTGGGAGTCTGAGGATAATAGGGTCTGGGGCTGGCTCTGTTTGGTGTTTTAGGCCTAGATGTCTGCGTTGGAGCAGCCACATTTGGAAAGTGGTGGCCGTGAGTGCTGGGCAGGGAATTTACAGGAGGTTGCTGGGGAGTTGCACCTTGAGTTGCTGAAAGGGGTGATGGTCCAGGTTTTGGCCCTGCCATCATTAACTGATTCTGGGAAACTACTAAATGTGAAGGCATGTTATTTGGGCCTCCTGAGACAGATGGTACTTCACTGCCACTCGCTTCAGGAAGCGAGGACACCTCTCCCAGTGGTGAGCTGGAAGGATTCTGTGGGTTCTCCTGGTATATCATTTTCCTTGAATTGCTTCCCAAAGGAGTATTCACAGGCATTGGCATCCTTTGCTTATCAGGTGATGGCGGCACGGAGGCAGGTCCTTGCAGACTGACCATGACAGGCACGCTGCCACTCTGCTGCATGGGCATTCTCTGGGAGTCTGGGTTCAGGGGGCCTCTTGGGGGATGGACACTTTGGGAGACTGGAAGCCTAACGGATTTGGGATCCTGTTGCATCATGAGCATCATCATCATGTGTTGCTGCTGCTGCTGCTGCTGCTGCTGCTGCTGCTGCTGGGACTGTGGCTGAGTGGGAGGTGGCTGCTGCTGCGGCGGCAGTTGTGGCTGTGGCTGCTGCTGTGGCGGCTGTGGCGGGGGTGCCACATGCTGCATGAGCTGAGGAGGCATCTGCTGAAGTGGCCTCTGTTCAACTGGTTGAGAAGCATAACCTAAAACAAGCCCCCAAAATCAGGGAAGTTAGATATTCAGCATGAAAAGCTTTGCAACCTTTAGAGTAGAGCCAAGCAATACTCCTCTAGGCTGCACAGACCGTGCACAAACAGCTCAGGCATGCCCCTTCTGGAGGGGCAGCCCCTCTCTATCCTACGTAAGCAAAGGGGCACGCTGCTCAGAGAAGCAAAAAGCAAAGCAACAAGAACCTGGAGCTCCTCAAGTGTTCAGGGCCTAGGAATGAGGCATTACCGCTCTAAGACTGATAGATACACTGTGCTATGCGTTGAAAACGGCCAAGTCTACAAGGGCCGAAATGTCAGATGAAACAAACAAACAAAATCCATCAACAGCAAGTAGCTGACCACCCAGCACTGTGGTCTCATGTAGACATAATATTTCACTGGACCTGTGAAATGATGTGAAGCAATTAGGATTCACTTTTTTTTTTTTTTTTTTTAAAAGAGCTGGTTTTGCTGAAAATGCCAGCATTGTAGGGAGCCTTTTTATTCTTTCAACAGACGTAAAATATAAAACTCTAGGATTCACTTCCTAAAGAAAGGGATTTAAAATTAATCCACTGGATCCACACACTATGCTGCATCCCTCAGGCTCAATCCTTTGGAAGAACCCAACTGAATTAAACTACTTCTCCGATGGAAGTCAGCTTAACAAACAGGAGGTGCTAGTAGAAGTTGGAGGACAAATTTGAAAAAAAAGAAAAAAGGTGGCCCTGGAGTTTCTATGAGTATCCACCAATTATATAAAAAGTATCTATTTCCATTTACTTTCTGACATGCAAAGTTCTATTTAGAGAAGTGCTTTCTATGAATTCACAATAGGAGAGTAAGGAAGCCAGAGCACAGCCCTCAGGAATAAAAAACAATTTCTGAGGAAAGAACCCTGTGGGACAATGCCTTACAGATTCACAGAAGGCAAGATTTCCAACGAATCTCTTGTGTAAAGGTTTTACTTGGCGTTTTAGAACCAAAACCTTACACAATCAGCAGAAATGATAGAAAAATCATCAAATTAAACCAAGACTAATGGTAGTTAAGTGGGAAAAAGCAGGCATATGGCAGGGATACAATTTCACAAACTAGATTTACTCCATCGTTGCAGGAAAAGTCCATTAGGAAGGCTTTAAGGAGGCACAGGAGTAAGAACAGTTGGTTCTGGCAGTCTGAAGAAATGCTGGCTCAAGATTTCCACAGAGCAGCTACCAAATGCTGCTCTGACCCACAGAATTATTTGCTTAATAGCTAATTAATATCTTCCGGCCAAAGATTTCCATGGCACCACAAAGTGAAATGTTCAGAATCCAGTTTTGAAGGTTTTAAAACATTTTTAAATCCCTTTCTGTTCTAGGTTCAAGTAACTTCTCTAGGTTTAACTATCAGCTACATAGCCAGAGTGGGTTTTTATTTTCCACATCTAATCTGGGGTTCCCTATGATGTCGGGGCTATGTCACAGATCCTTGTGTTTGTAAAATCAGCCCACCAGATAGTACATTAAAAAGCAAAGAGGACAGCATAGATATTACAGCAGCCTCTTGAAAATAACAGTTAAGGGCAAGGCTGCTATAAAGGGTGCATAAGTTGGAGGCAGCGGTCCAGAGGATACTAGCAATGACAGATTGGGGTTGACATGACAGAAAAGCAGAGAAGGAAAGCCAGGATACATGGAATGCCCATAACATAGTCAAAACAAATGTACTAATGAAAGCATGCAAACTGACACATGATTTCACGGGCCAAGAAGGTAGTAAAGAAGTGAGGAGGCTGGTCTAAGAGAGCTGGAGTACTGTTCACAGTGTCAAGCTGGCAAAGCAGATGCCCTGTCTAAAGCCATTTAAATTCAGACTTTTAAGATGGCATGATAATTCAAACACATTGCAGGCTGAATTCAGCCTGCTGGTCCCCAGTTTGCAATATGCAGAAAGGAGGCAAAAACAAAGGTCTTTGAATGTTTGTGAGGACCCCTGGGATATATACAACAGAAGAGTTCAGATTTGTCTTTGGGAAGAAGGTACCTCCCTGCTCATAATAGCTTTTGGATATACCCACCAAAGACTGGTGACCTCCCAGCCTCATTTGTGCTGCTGCAACTCACTGATGGGAAGTGTGGCTGTGCCTAAGTCATTTGTAAGAAATAACACAAGTATTGACATTATGAGTCACTTTTAAAATACATGAATTAAAGATAGATTAAAATTTATTCCTAAAATAATGTCATTCTTATATGCCAAAAAGGAAGCTGAGTAACTAGTGACGATGAAGAAAAACAATCTTTCGTATACATAGGAGAGTGGCCTAAGTATGAAGGACTTGCCTGTTTTCCTACTGTGTTATAGGGGAATGAGGTTACAAACCATTGCTCAGGCCAAGATGACTGCAAGATCCCAAGTGTGTTCAAGTTTCTTAGGCCAGCAATAGCATGTGTTTCTATAGAGAAGATCGAGGGTTTTAGGGGCTTACTAGGTTTCTAAATTTAAGAATAAACTTTTTGGTTGGCATAGTAAAATGCAGGTACAGAGATTATGGCAGCTGGTCTTGGTTCTATGATATCTGAATTGGAATTAATGAATTTTAGGTGCTTTTCCTTTTTAGCATAATGTTCAAACATTTAGATGGTAACTTTTAAAATAATATTACAAAGCGAGGTACAACACATGAGGCTTCAACAATGTCAAACCCAAAGACATCAAGCTGATTGGGACTCACAGCGATCCTACTGGACAGACAGAACTGCTCCACACGGTCCATGAAGCAGACTGCCACATCTTTCGCCTGTGGAGTGGCTGGTGGTTTCCAATCACTGACCTTTCGGTTAGCAGCTGAGCACTTAACCACTGCACCACAAGGGCTCCTTTCAACAACAGTGGTACTATTTATCATTAAGCTGGGTGATAGGTACATGGATGTCTACTGATTATTCTTTGTATTTTTTGTGTATGTTTTAAAGATTCATAATAAAATTTCAATAAACAAAGATAATCTTGTTTTAAATTTTGACAGTTCCCTTCTCTGTGAAAGCTCCAGTAGAAAAGGATGCAGGAAAAGCAGGCAAGCAGAATTAAGAGTGAAAAACATCTTTCCATTAAATCTTACTCCATTTTGTTGCCAACTAGAACCTTGATATTGACAAGAATAAAGAGGCACTTCACATTTCAGTTGACTGTATGAGGACTTAAAATTACCAAGGACAATTTGAGCAGAATATACATATACACATACATAAATATAAATACTTCAGAGGTTATATTTGAAATTTTACTTAATACCAAATCAAAGCTTCCAAAAGTACAATACACATTAAATTGCTACAGTACCCTAGTTAGCAAACAAAATATGGTTGTTTCCTTGAAGCTATGTGATGTAATGCTATGTAAATGTTATGTAAATGATGACAAGTGTATCATCTTTAGCTAACATTTTATCACCTGGTGGCCGGTTTGAAAATTCTGGCAGTTTAGGGCCTGAGTTCTCCAAGTTAATTCCTTGTTCTCCAGGCAATGATTGTTGATCAGGCTCTTCCAGACCAGCTGGGCGAGTATCTGGGGTGCTACAAAACCAGTAACATATTTGAGAGTAAGTTGTATAGTATATACACAAAACTAGTTTAACCCCTCCCTCATTTCTGAAAAATTAAAATGTTTGCATTATTATCCTTCCCATTATTTATATCTCTCTTGTCTAAAGAGAACATTCAATATTTGGCATAAAATACTCTAGTAATTTTATTAAATGTTAAAACCCACTCAAATCTAATAGCATGGTTATTTACTCAGATTTCTGATAGAATGATTTTCATGTAATCATGCACCCCTTGTATGCTTTAAGACCTGATCATAATTTGGGACTATCAACATAATAAAGTACACTTCCTGTGAAACATCATCTAAGTACAGCTATAAAGTTCAATCAGGGAGTCCAGATTGTTTCCTTTTTGTAGCTATTACAATGGTGACGCCAATAAATCAAAAACACCTTACAAGAGGTTGTCGGTTGGCTGATGGAAACATTATTCAGACAACAAAGGAAGGAAGGAGAATAACAGAACAAAGATAATTAACTTGGCTGCACAAATAGTATTTGCACACATACCCATTGGCTTTGGGATGCCTTCTTATTGACCTGAATGTAGCTTAGAATCTTTAGTGCATAAGCGGGGAGGGGGAGAGGGTTGGAGGGAATTCATGCTAGATAGTGAAGAAAACTATCTACTAGTATGCACATTCCCAAAGAATTACAGAATTCTCACATTCCATATTTTGTATGTAATTTCACTCCTAGCTGCACATTTCTTTTCCTACTTTTAGTTTCCCTTTGCCCTGATCTTGGTCACCTTCTTTTATACAGTACTTTATTACATTTATTCTGTGTAGTTCTATAAGCCACCTGAAATCCATTTCAAAAGCCACTGGCACATGAAACTTCAGAGACTGAAGCAGGTCCTCAGTGCATCCAGATCTCTATACCAATTTGCTCTCATTATGACTTCTCTCTCCTGTCAAATTACAGGCAAGTGTTCTGTGGCATTCTTTACTTTAAAATAACTGAACTGCTAAAAAAATTTCCTATCTCATCCAGCCCTCTCATGTATGGATGAGAAAACAAAGGTCCGGAGAGGTGCGAGAGGTCCCACAGTGAGCTAGTGGTAGAGCTGGGAACAGGTGCTCTTCCTATTAAACCAATATCTCCCTTTCTGAGGACCCTGATACTATATATGGCCCTTTTCACAATTTGTAGACCCAATAAGCAACCAACCTGTCTCAGGGCTGGTTAAGACAACAAAAATGCATACTAATGGCAATTAAATAACTTTGCAGTTTTACTCCCAGATAGTGGAAGGAATAAAATAGTGATTCCCACAAGGTGACAGCAGTAAAGGATTTAACTGAGAGTCATCAGAAAATTTAGATAATTAATTTCTGAATTCAGGAAAACATAGTAAGATTCAAGCAGCAGCAAGTGAGCATATTAGAGAACAACCAAAGAAATGCAAGAAGGTGGGAGAAAAGTATGCCCACTCCTCACTTATCAACGTGGTTAGGTTCCAAAGACCAGGCTGCTATGCAAAAATTGGTGTTATGAGAAAATGGAGGATAACTACTTCATCACATAACTGCCAAACACCACTGAGAATATGGCCCAGGTAAGCTGACACATAACCTTAACCATCACAGTCAGTTACTCCTGCCTCGTATTACGGCATTTGTTACTGCCAGATGTACGCCATTAATGCACAAAATAGTTAGATTTTTTACTACTGTTGTAAAAGCAAATCATCAGATAATGAGTGAAGAGCAGGTGTAGTTATTTGTGTCTTTAACATTTTTGTTGTTAGGTGCCATCGAATGGGCTCTGACTCACAGCGACCCTCCATACAAAAGAACCAAACACTGCCTGGTTCTGCGTCACCCTCACAACGCTTGCCATGCTTGAGCCTACTGTTGCAGCCAGACACTGAATCAATCTATCTTGTTGAGGACCTTCCCCTTTTTCACTGATCCTCTACCCAGAATGACAGCTTTCTCCAGAAACTGGAGTATGAGAGATGAAGATGGATGAGAGATAAGTCTGGCCATTCTCACTTCTAAAGAACATTTGAGCTGCACTTCCTCCAAGACAGATTTGTTTGTTCTTCTACTAGTTCAAGGTAACTTCAATATTCTCTGCCAATACCACAATTCAAAAGCATCAATTCTTCTGCAGTCTTCCTTATCCACTGTCCAGCTCCCACAGGCATATGAAGCTATTGAAAATACCATGGCTTGAGTCAGGCACAACTTAGTTTTCAAAGGGACATCACTGCTCTTAAATGCTCTAAAGAGGTCTCTTGCAGTAGATTTGCCCAGTGCAATACATCATTTGATTTCTTGACTGCTGCTTCTATTGGTGTTGATTGTGGATCCAAGTTAAATTAAATCCCTGACAACTTCAATCTTTTCTCCATTTATCATAATGTTGCTTATTGGTCTAGTTGTGAGGCTCTTTGTTTTCTTTATGTTGAGGTGTAACTCATACTGCAGTCTGTAGTCTTTGATCTTCATCAGTAAGAGCTTCAAGTATTCTTCACTTTCAGCAAGCAAGGTTTTATCATCTGCATATCACAGGATGTAAATTAAGTCTTCCTCTGATTCCAATGTCAGTGTTCCTCTGCATATAATCCAGCTTCTCTGATTATGTGCTCAGCATACAGATTGAGTAAGTATGGTGAAAGGGTACAACCCTGATGCACACCTTTCCTGATTTTAAACCATGCAGTATTTCCTTGTTCTAACTACTGCCTCTTGGTTTATGTAAAGGTTCCTTAATGAACACAATTAAATGTTCTGGAATTCCCATTCTTAGCAGTGTTATCATCCATAATTTGTTATGATCCACATAGTCATATGCCATTGCATAGTCAGTAAAACATCTGGTATTCTTTGCTTTCAGCCCAGACCCATCTGGCATCAGCAATTATATCCCTCATTCCATGTCCTCTTCTGAATTTGCCTTGCACTTCTGGAAGTTTCTTGTCAATGTACTGCTGCAACCATTTTTGAATTATCTTCAGCAAAATTTTACTTGCAGATGATATTAATGATAAAGTTTGATAATTTCCACATTCTGTTCAATCACCTTTCTCACCTTTCTTTGGAATGGGCACAAATATGGATCTCTTCCCATCCATTGCCCAGGTAGCTGTGTTCCAAATTTCTTGGCATAAACAAGTAAGTACCTCTACTGCTGTATCCATTTGTTGAAACATCTCAATGGGTATCCCATCAATTCCTGGAACCTTTTTTTTTTTTTTTTTTTTCCTTTAAGCCTGGACTTCTTCCCTCAATACCATTGGTTCTTGATCATATGCTCCCTCCTGAAATGGCTGAATATCAACCAATTCTTTTTGGTACAGTGACTGTGTATTCCTTCTATTTTGTTTTGATGCTTCCTGCCATACAATTGATGCTTCCAATATTTTGCCATACAATCTTTCAGTATTTTAACTCAAGGCTTGCACTTCATTTCAGTTCTTTCAGCTTGAAAAATGCCGAGCATATTCTTCCCCTTTGATTTTCCATCTCCAGGTCTTTGCACATTTCACTGTAATACTTTGTCTTCTCAAGCTGTTCTTTGAAATCTTCTGTTCAGATCTTTTATGTCATCATTTTTCATTTGCTTTAGCTACTCTCCATTCAAAAGCAAGTTTCAGAGTTGCTTCTGACATCTATTTTGGTCTTTCCTTCCTTTTTAATGACATTTTGTATGTTTTTGATGTCATCCCACAAATCATCTGGCCTTTGGCTGATGCTCAGTGTGTCAAATCTATCCTTCACATGGTCTCTAAATTCAGGTGGGATATACTTAAGGTCATATTTTGGCTTTTGTGGACTTGTTTTAATTCAGCTTCAACTTAAATTTTCATATGAGCAACTGATGGTCTGATCTACAGTCAGCCTCTGGCCTTGTTCTGACTGACGATATTGAGCTTCTCCTTTGCCTCTTTCCACAGATGCAGTCGATTTGATTCCTGGGTATTACACCTGGTGAGGGCCTGTGTAGTTGTCACTTATGTTGTTTAAAAAAGGTATTTGCAACGAACAGTTGTTGGTCGTGCAATATTCTGTCATGTAATCTCCAGCATCATTTCTAACATTTAAGCTAATTTAAATAAAACTCCCCTATTTTCTATAGCTGCAGCAATTTATTTCAATTAACCTGTTTTACATCATTAGTCACTATTCTCTGTTAATCAATGTCTATGAATTCAGTTTTATGATTAAAGACAGAAAAGCTGAAACAATATTCCTTCTGGAAACATTTCGGCAAGGCAAAAATTATTATTTAAATTAATACGCAGCTTCAGGAAACAAAGTATAATGTTAACTGCCCTACCTGTTTCGATCTTGCAAAAGAACTCACCTGGAGGACCTTTACTGAAAGGGTAAGTGATTTAAAAGGTCCAGTCATGTTAGTTTGGCGTTTTAAGTTTCTAGGGATGATAAAGAGCCTTTAAAGGAAAGACACCTGTGCAAAGAAAAACTTCTACTTGAGAGAAGCAGGGGGTCACCCTAAGCAATTTTCATCTTAAAAACACACTTGACCTCTATGGTTCCCCAACAGCCATTAATTCTAAGCCTAAATTCTAGGGCCTAGAGGAACTGCAGTGTGGTAACACTGGCTTTTTTTTTTTTAATTTTTTTTTGTTGTGATTTAGGTGAAAGTTTACACAGCAAATTCATTTTCCATACAGCAGGTCACATACACTTTGTCTCATGGCATTGACTGCAGTTTCCCACAATGCAACAGCTCCCTTCCCACTTCCTCCCCATAGTTACCTCTTCCCTGTGTCCTTCCCTCCATGCATTCTGGCCCCCTGAGCTGTCTCCCTGTGCATACACAGCCGTTCTGGTCTCCCATGATTGATCTCTCCAAAGAGTGTTATCTACCTAACGTAAATGATCACCTCATACGTAACATTGGCTTTTTTAAGGCTCTGGGTGCCATAATCCTCTGAAACTTCAGACTTAAGACACGTATTAGTCAAATGCAGTCTATGAACTTTGCTTAAATCCTTATTTGAGCAAACTGTGAAATATATTTATAATTTAAGACAATCAAGGAAATTTGAGGATAGTAGGGAAGTACAATAAAACTTGCAAAAACTGGAACCTGTGTAAGGTGGAAACTTGTCAGAAAGAAAACTGAAATATTTTCCACAAATAAAGAGCAACAGAAAAGTTGTAAGACTGTAGGCATCCTGTTAAAGGGCAGAAAACTTGCAAGACCTGGAAAAACATTGAGTTATGGCTCTCACAGGCTTCACAGTATTAGTCTGTCTACCAAACACCAAACCAAACTCACTGCCATGGAGTCGATTTCGACTCATAAGCAACCCCTCCTTGGGTTCCAAGGCGGTATCTCTATGGAAGTAGATTGTCCAGTCTTCCTTCCGAGGAGTGGTTGGTGAGTTTGAACCGCCAGCCTTCTGGTTAGCAGTCAAATGCCTTAGGCACTACACCACCTATTTACAAAGTGAATTTGCTTTAAAATAAGCAAGAGAGTAGTGGGGGAGAGCACAGATGAAGGCAAGATAGGCTATGAACTGATAACTGTTGAAGCAGGGGGATTTCATTATATTATTCTTATTTTATATATGTTTCAAATTTGCCATCAAAAACGTTGTTCACACAGAAACAAATGAATAAGATTTGAGGCAAAACTTTCACAACCTACTTTAGATCTTGCTGACTATTTTTCTTCTTCCGAGGGGGTTTCTTCTTCTTCGGTTTATTTGCGTTGGTATTATTCTGCTTATTATTTACCCCAAAATGGCCTGCAGAGATGTCACTTTGCAGTAAGTTGACCAGCAATGGGCTTGTTAGCGTGACATCCTTATTGACTGGGAAGCCTGGATTCTGACCACAAGACATCTGATTTCCATTGGGTGCTCCACTGAAAGGTGCATTGAAAGGCATCCCGTGGCCTGAGAAGTGGTTTCCCGAGGCACTGTTTCCCTGCATGGCCTGCACATGGGGGGGAACCATGTTGTTTTGTTGCATGCTGACATCAGGCATCATCTGAGACAAGCTGACATCATTATTTGCTGTGGCAGCAGGATCACCATGCTGCTGGGCCATGTGTGGGCTCGGTCCTGGTGGCCGTAGGACCTGCCCCTGAATCCCCATAACCTGAGATGGACTACTGTTCACAGGTGCTTGCTGGGGCAGCATCTGTCCTGACATCTGTCCCGTAAACTGCACCATATTTCCTTGCATGTTTGGAGTTGGTCCCCTCATTATCTGTGCTGGTCCCGGCATGACACTGGATTGGTTCTGAGTGCTAAACTGCTGCTTATTCCCCTGCATCTGATTGGTCATGATCTGCTCTATCATTGGGTTCTGTTGGAGCAAAACTTGCCCCTGAGGCCCCATCATCTGGTTATGTGGTGCCATCATTTGTGGGCCCTGCTGGGGAAGCATTTGCTTGGGTGGGGTCATCCTTTGGGGCGAGGGCCCAAGATTTTGGCTCTGAGGATTCACCATCATCTGGCCCGGTGGCATAAGCTGGGCCCTCGATAGGATCATGGGGTTCTGAGGGTTCAAAGTTCCTTGCTGTTGGACTATCTGGCCCTGGGGGGGCACGATCTGCTGGTGCATGCCCATCAGCTGAGATGGTGCCTGTTGGGGCTGGCCTTGCATGTTGCCCAGGTTCACCTGAGGAACCCCAGAACCACCAGCCTGTTGGTTGTTCATGTTGCCATGAATTCCCATGAGGCTAGGCTGAATCATATTTGGTGGCCCATGGGACACCTGCATCTGGCTTTGAGGAGGACCGGATCCTTGACCACCTAAAAAAAAAAAAAAAGTAGTTTCAGAAAGAAATATTGGTCTTTTATTTGGCATTAAGAGAGCTGAATTACCTTAATTAGAAAGCCAGCCACCACTCTTATCTCCACTGACCAAGACAGACTAACATGCTGTGCTCGCATGCTTTCTATGGATCTCTGAACTGTGCCTAACCATCCACCTTCTCAATGACCATGCAATAAAGAAGGGGACACAGTTTATTTACTCCTATTTAATAAATTAAAAATAACATTTTCACAGATCAATAAAGTTTATTGTCTTTCAGACTAAAAAAAGGGAAAAGAAGCATTTTATTGTTTAATAATGACTTGCAGCTACTACCTCAAGTTAAAGAAAATTAATTAAAAGCACTAAAGGCTAATGAACTAATCTCTCTCTTAAGTGAGCCAAGGAAACAAAGAATGTGGTATGTCATCTTAGAAAAACTCCACAATGTTGAGAAGACATTTGAAAATGCTTCTTGGAACACGAATAACTCTCAAAGGCTATGTGTGTGGTATCTGGATGCTATACTTTAAAGAAAGAACACCTGATACTTCCTAAGGCCAGATCTCCTCTGCCATGGATGTGGTAAAGGTTGTTATTCAACATTGATCTGGAAGCTGAGTCGCTGGTAGGAGCTGACTGACAGACAACCCATCCAGAAGCTTGCAGATAGAGAACTGTTAACAAAGGATGTTAAAACTTCAGTGACCTTCCCCTGTGGCAGTCCCCCGTGCGCCATGTTCCATTCTTCAGTTATTACCTATTTTAACAAAGGACACTGCCTGCTGCCTTGCTGCAGTGTTTACTTATTGCTGGGTCTCTGGGATTTTCTCATAGCTACTTGCCTTATTCCTTCCTTTTCACTGAATTACCTTCTACCTTATTTTATCTTTTCCGCTTTTAAATGGGGATTAGAAAGGGCAGTCACAATGAGGTTATGAGGCCAGCCAGGTAGGCAAGGGACAAACTGTCCCTTGTTCACACTGTATTAACACTTTGTGAACCTCAGGGATTTCTCTACACTAGTCTTATAAACTTGAACTCCATGACTACTGTTTAAAAGTACTCATCTCAGAGTAAAACCAAAAACCAATCTCACTGCCATCGAGTTGATTCTGAGTCATAGAGACCTTCTTTGGGTTTCCAAGGTGGTAAATCTTTATGGAAGCAGATTGCCCAGTCTTCCTTCCACGAGTGGCTGGTGGGTTTGAACTCCCCTTCTTCTGGTTAGCAGTCAAATGCCTTAGGCACTACACCACCAGAGCTCCTTCATCTCAGAGCACATTCCTATAATTTATTATTTATGTATTGGATATCTAATATACACAAGGCACTTTTGGTGCTAAGGTAATAGCAACAAACAAGACAGACCAATTCCCCTGCACCTTTGGAGCTTATAGCCTACTTGGCAAGAGAGATAATAAGAAGATAAGTAATTTTTCGGGAAGTAGTAAAAGCTAAGAATAGAAATAAAGTAGGGTAAGAGGGCAGAAAATGATACAGAAAAACAAAGCTACTTTAAAAAGGATATATAGGGAAAATCAAAACAATATGCACATGAAAGGTAGTATACAAAAACACAAAACAGCTATGCTAGGGTGGAAGAATTATGAATAATTTTATCACTGTTCTAAAATGTCCTATAAAAAAAATGAATTCATTTAATTCAGGAAAAGTAGTTTTTGCCTTTTTAGATAGGGAAAGTAGTAGCTCACCCTACCCTTCTTTAACTATATCCTTCAAGAGATAGTTTGATTTTTTTTTTTTTTTTAATTAAGGTAAGGATTTTCTCATTTCTGAGTGATACACGATTAAGGCTGGAATGTAATCAAATTAATTCCCAGTAGGGATGGGAGTTCAGAAAATGTTTCAGCTAATTCAATCCAAATTTCCTGAATGAGAAAGAGTAAGAGGATTAGTCATATGGCACCTAAGCAATGAGAAACCAAGTCTGGGCTTACAGGCTGCTGATTTACAAACGCTTTTTAGCCACTCTGTTCCATCCTATCCCCACTCCAAAATTTCTTCTTAGATATGTACAATGTTGGCATGACGCTCAGTATGAACCAAGCTAATGTGGATGACATAGAGATTTTAAAAGCTGCATCTGTCCAAACATGGTATGTGCCTCCATGCCTTTGTGCCTATGGTTTCCTGTGCCAGAAGTGTTTTTGCCTACTGAGTGAGCACGCTCTAACTGAGAGGTTAGCAAACCACAGTCTGTGGGTCAAATTTAGCCCAATGCATTTTTATAAATAAAGTGTTTGGAACACTGCCATGCACATTCATTTATGAATTGTCTACGGCTGCTTTTGCACTACAACAACAGAACTGAGTAGTTGCAAGACTGTGTAAATTGTAAATCCTAAAATATTTACTATCTGGCTCTTTACAGAGTGTGAGCTCTGGTGGTACAGTGGTTAAAGTGCTTGGCTGATAACCAAAAAAAGGTCAGCAGATGGAACCCACCAGCTGTTCTGAGGGAGGAAAATGTGGCAGTCTGCTTCCCTAAAGATTTACAGCTTTGGAGATCATATGGGCCAGTTCTACTCTGTCCTACAGGGTCACTGTGAGTGGGAACTGACTCGATGACAGTGAGTTTGATGTTAGTTTTGTCCTTTTACAGAAAAATTTGCTGTCCCTTGTTTTAACTCAAGTTTTACTCCTTCTCTTGCTTGTTTCTAGGCTCCTGAGACATCTTACCTATTTTTACTACATCGGTTATTGGCCTGAAGCATAATTATTTGTGGGTTTCAAAGTAAGGGGTGGAACCTGGACTTAATCTGGACATATCCCATCTACCAATTAGGGTATGAATGTTAGATGAATAAATGGCAGAAGACAAACCTGCATGCTGGACATTTTGATTTGCTTGCAGCTGAGGGGCTCCTGAATTCCCAGGGGTGGCTGCTGTGGTCGAAGGCACCTGACCTTGCATAAAGTTCGGATTGGCCTGTCCTGCTGAGAAGCCAGGTGGGAGGCGTTTAGGCATTCCTTAATAGAAAACAATGAGTAAGGCAGTTACCTAGCAAATTTATACTCTTGCTTAGATGTGGGATGAATAAGGAAGGATGAGCTGCATGAAGTCTCCACTTGCTTAGCTCTCTCTGTCACACTGGTAGGATCTTTAATAATAAGGTTGGGAAAGATGGTTAAAAAAATCAACACAATTTCTTACATGAGCATTGTCAAAATGAAAAAGAAATACTAAAAAATTTACATTTAGAACATGCCAAGGAAAAGATGCCAATCTGCTCCCTAAATGTGATCTGAGGCCACGCCACAGCAAGGTTTCAGGCTCACTTTTCTGTCATACAATGGACCCCAGAACTTATATACTTTACAGGCACTAAAGGAATACACTAAATTCCCTCATATTCAAACATGTAAATGAAGAGCTGGGTCCTGTTACTAAGGATAGATAGGTGATTTGTCTTCCTTTGAGAGAAATCGATGACAGTCTCCTCTGCACAGAAAATCTCCCCCAGCCCCCAATATTGTGCTCGTTTCTTTGGAATCGACAGGAGTTTAAAAACAGTTCATAGGAGCTTCAAGGTGCGGCTATGTTAAATTTATCATTTGCCTTATCCTCCTAAGATTTTCTGCAATGCTGACAGCTATGGTATCAAAAACCATGCTTTAATGGAATCTTACTAAAGTATTACTTCCTTTTATAGGAAGGCCTAATTTCAAAAAACAAATTTGTAATAAGGAGAATCTCAGACCCACTCAGTGATTATAACTCAGGCCTTGATGTGGCCAGATCACCAAGGTGAGCACATTATCTACTTTATGAAAGCATCAAGACCTAAAGGTCACTTAAAACTTTCTTGTATTCACCCATTTATTTATTTTTTAGGGCTAAATTTTCAATGCCCTGAAAAACACTTTCTATAGACAAATATGCATTTGTCTCTCTTCAGCAGTGACAAGGCCCCATTTGCATGCTTTCACTGTAATTAAGGCAGTAATCACATTTGCAGGAGGGACTACCCAGCTAACACTGATCCAGGGTCAGACACCCAGAACAGTGATGTTTGGAGCTGAAACATATTTGCTTTTTCTAAAAATTTCTCAGGATTCAAATATTAGCACCTGCACATCAGCAAAACTAATGACAAGAGAGTGAAGAAAGACTGATGAGCAACTTAATTTCACCAGAAACCATGGGAACATGCCTTTGCTATGTTGCACTAGAGATGCAAGGGTTTTTTCTGGGTAGGCAATGGGTGTCTTTTGGTGGGGATATGTTTATCAGATGGCAGTATTACTGACACTGTATTCTCTACTGAAAAGCTCCAAGCACATTCATGTGCACTAGATCAATGGTTAATAATAAATAATAAACATGGAGATGGATAAGTTTTACTGTAATCGTTTTACCTCTCACACATTAAGCTCCATTGCTTTTTCTTCATACAAGAGGCACCTTACAAAATAAATAAATAAATCTCCTTTAGGTATAACTGATGGAATTCCCTCTCTAAGGAGCAGGCATTGGCATTATAAAATTATGAAAGTTAATGATTTCTGAACTTATTCCCCTTTAATACTTTAACTAAATTTAACAAATACCATGCTTACTATTTCATTAACTAAAATCAAAATTGACAACCAGAAGAGTTTTTTTTCTCAGTAAGACCTTGTAATTATCTTCCCACTTTCGTTCTATTTCATAATCTTAAATTTTTCAACAGCTGAGCAGTTTAAGTTGTTAATAAAATACATATTTCTTATAGACATTTAAATTTGCTAGTACAAGATCAAGCAAAAATAACTTGGAAAACAATAAAAGGCATCTCTTTATTAAATTTTACCTGTTTTTTGTATCCAGAGGGCTAGTTTAAATTTCACCAATAAGATGATGCATAATATATCAAGTTAACTAAGTTATATCAAGTGTCACCAGCATATCCACAAAACCAAATGATGACATCCTTATTTCACTCCCCTCCATTAACTCTACAGCTCAAAGCTCTACTAACATCTATCTCCAGCAAATTCACTAACACAAATAGTTCAGTGTTCCTCACCTCCGAGGCCTGGATGTAAACTCTGTGGCCCCTGGTTTGGTGGTTGCTGCTGCATCACCATGAAGTTGGGTGGCACATTTCCCTGTTGAACCATAGGATTCCGACCTGGCGAGCTGACAGGCTGCTGAAATCCCTGGGGAAGTGGGTTATTTTGAGGTGGCCTTGGTCCCATCTGCTGCTGAGTTTGGTTAACCGTTGGGGAGGATGCAGGAGATCCCTGCTGGAAAGCGGAGGGTGAGGAGGCAGGAGACTTGTTGGTGAGGTGGGGCTGCTGCAGGGGGGTTGGGACCCTGGAGGGCCCTCCCTGCAAGCTCTTCATCTGAGGAGCTGTGAACTGGCCTGGGTTGCTCATCTGAGGAAAGTTTGTATGGGCTTGTGAGGCTTGCTGGCTGCCAAAAGGATACGGAGGGGGAGGGTGGGAAGGTGTCTGTAACGTGGCTAAGGATGGTCGTGCCTGGAGTTGTTGTTGCATTGGGCCAGGCAGAGGAGCCTTCTTCCATCCTTGGTTTGCAGTCATGGTGCCCAGAGAACCCTGGGCTGGCGGAGGCTGAAGGGCTCCAGAAGGCAGCTGGTTCCAGCCTGGAGGAACAGGCACCTGAGTTGGGGCAGTAAACTGGGGTCGAGTTCCCTGTGGCTGCTGCTGCTGATGTTGCTGTGGGGGTCTTGACTGCAACTGCTGCTGCTGCTGCTGCTGCTGCAGCTGAGGGAAATTAGTGGGGTTCATTTGTCTGTTCGCAGGAACAGACTGCACTGGGTGGTGCGGAGGAGCTAAAGATCCTGAGGGATGACTCTGCTGCTGTACATGGAGCCCAGAGAGGAGTGGATCCATTGCATCTGTATTAGAAAGACAGTCAACAAAATAATAATTAACCTACTGCAACCTAGATCCTAGAGCAATGGTCTCGGTAATTCTGCAGATAGAGAGTAAAGCCTGCTCATTATTGTCAGGTTCTGTTGAGTAGGTTCTGACTCACAACAACCCCAAGAGACAGAGCAGAACTGCCCCAGAGGGTTTTCTAGGCTGTACCTTATGGGAGCCACTGGGTAGGTCTAAAACCAAGTGCTTAACCGTTGTGCCAGCCCTCCCCCGCCCCGAAAATAAAATCCCACTGCTGTCAAGTCAATTCCAACTCATAGCAACCTGGGTTCCCAAAACCTGCTGGTATCACTCAACAAAACTTAAGCACATCTCCTATGTGCAAAGTAATGTGCCCAGAGTAAAGGCGATCCTAGCTAATAAGTGCTTATGGTTCAACAGTGAATATAAGAGCCAAACATTATCAAATATTGTTGTTGTTGTTTGCCATCGAGTCGGCCCCGACTCATAGCGACCCCTCCTTGGGTTTCCAAGGCAGTATCACTACGGAAGTAGGAATGCCCAACCTTCCTTCCGAGGAGTGGCTGGTGGGTTTTCGAACCGCCAGCCTTCTGGTTAGCAGTCAAGTGCCTTAGCCACTATGAGAAAGTGGTATTCTTAAAGGCATATTCTGGGGAACCGTTAGTGTTTTAAGAAAAACAAAACAAAAACATAGTCAAATATATTTGGGAAACATTGGACCTAACAATCATAAACAGATTCCTTCACTGTAGGACTTTGAGAGCTTCCAATGTTAATCTTGAATCTTCAGGAGGGTCGGTAGAGTATGCTGCATTTCCCAAACTTACGTGACTATAGAGTTCTCTGTCATGGATAAATACGTCAAAGTACACACTTTTGGGAATACTGGGCATAGAACTGAGAATTCTGAAAAGGAAACGATGACTTTGAGCTTGAAGACACTAGGGAAAATTTTTGTAAAGAAGGTGGCATTTGAGTAGAGCAGTTAGAAATTTAGCATAAGAGATAAGAGAATTTTGTAATGATCCCTGTAAGGAGTTCCAGCATCTTCAATCCTCAAAGATCAGAGGTCATTACCTGATTGAGAAGCAGGGCGAGGAGTCCTGGGCTGTAGCTCTGGATTGGGGCCTGGTGCCATCATGGAAGACGACACATTTCCACCCTGGGGTATCATAACAGTGGCAGGGTTGGTCATCCTTATTAATCCTAGGGGGGAAAAAATTCCTAGAATAGAGTATGGGACTTAGCACAATTTTTACTTTCAATGAATTACTTCAAGAATAGGAAAAAGGATGAAAAATTTCTGTACCCATCATCCACTTTAAATCTAAATATTTTGCCTTTATTACTTCAGATAAATATGTAGATACTGTAGAAGCCCCCTAGTCCTTCCCAATCCTATTCTATTCCTCCCTCTTAAAATTGGGTTAACATTAGCTATTCTACATTTGTAGGTAAACTGCATGGTATTTTTTGTACACTCTTAATCTTTGTATAAGTGATGTCATGTATTCTTTAATTACCTTCTTTGCATGTTTTTGAGACTCATCCATGTAGATATATGTTGCTTTAGTTCATTGATCTCGACTGCTATACTAGTACACCATTATATGAAACCAGATATCCATTCTCCTGCTGATGAATAATAAGATTTTTTCCACTAACTTTTCCCTCATTCAATTTTGCAATGTCATGTATTCCTGTAGACATGTGTGAGAGTATCTTTAGACTATATAGTTAGAATTGCAAGGTTTTAGTTGACTGCTGCCATGTCAGCTCCGACTCATGGTGACTGCATGTGTGTCAGCACAGGATTGTGCTCCACAGGGTTTTAATAGTTTGGAAGTAGTTCACCAGACTTTTCTTCCAAGGTGCCTCTGGGTGGACATGACCTGATAGCTGTTTAGTTAGCAGCCAAGTGCATTAACTGTACCATCTAGGGACTCCGTTTAATGCAGAAGCATCTTCAATTTTACTAGATATTGGCAAACTGCTCCCAAAAGTAGTTGCTGCTGTTACGTGCTATCAAGTTGATTTTGACTCAGAGCCACCCCAGGGATTTTCTACATCTTTTTTTGTTTGTTTGTTTAGGCATAATCTTTATGGAAGAAGATCACCAGGTCTTTCACCCATGGAGTCACTGGGCGAGTTTGAACTGCAAAACTGGGCTGGCAAATTTTAGGTTAGCATCACGTACCTGTTGTCCTACCAGGGCTTCTTCCAAAAGTGGTCATATCAATTTATGCTAAAACTAGCAGTTTGAGAACTCTTGTACCCTATCTAATTCCTGGTATTTTGCCCTATCTTTCTATTCTTGATACTGTTACATTTTTTGAGATATAGCATCTATGGTCATAAGTGAGACTAGTCTATGATTATCTTCTATTTTCCTTCAGAGTTTTGTATATACCATCCCATTGTCTTTTCACCTGCACAGTTTCTGCCAAGAAATCTGAGCTTACTCTTATTAGTTGCCTCTTGTAGATAACTTTTTGTTTTTCCTGTGCTGCTTTCAGGATTCTTTCTTTGTCTGGTTTTGGTGAGTTTGATGATGATACGTCTTGGTGATTTTCTTTTGGGGTCTATCCTGTTTGGGGTTCACTGGACTTCTTGAATGGATGTATTTTCATCTTTCACCATACTAGGAAAATTCTCTTCCAACAAATCTTCGACAATTTTTTTGTGGTTTTATTTGTCTCTTTCGGTTCTGGAATTTTGATTACACATAGGTTATTCCTTTTGATAGCATCCCTCATGAATCTTAGGCTTTCTTCATTTTGTTTTGATCTTTTTTCTGACAGATCCCTTCTCAAAGAAGTATTTGTCTTCAATCCCACTAATTCTGTCTTCCATGGATTCAATTCTACTCCTTTGTCCATTCAATGTATTATTTATTTCTGAAAATTTAGCATTAATCTTCTGGATTTCTGTCTGTAGATTTTGTATCATTTCTAATTTTTCATTTATTTTGCCATTTTGTACTTGTATTGTCTTTTGAAATTGTTCTAGGGTTTTGTTTGTGTTTTCCTCAATTTTGTCAGTGTTTTCCTTGATCTGTCTCTCAATTCATTGAAGGTACCTAAATATAATTCTTTTGAATTCCTTATCAGGGAGTTCCAATGCTGCATCTTCCTCAGGGATGTGTTTTGGGTCTGTATCCTGGTCCCTTGTTTCTCCTGCTTTATCTTGCTTCTTTGTGTGGACTGTGATGCTCTGTTGTCTCTGAGGCATTATGACATTTTTGTGTTTATATTTAATTGGCAGAGTGACTTGCTCATAATTTTCATTTTCTTTGTATGCTATCTACGTAAGCAGGGTACTGTGCTGTGCTCCTCTATTCGCTAGTTTGCAGCACTTATAAGCTCACCACCTGTCTCCTTTCCAGTTGTCAACCTCTCGTATGTCCCTGCTGTCCTTGGCAAATGGAGCCTATACTTACTAGAATCTGAATGAGAACGCTGTCACTTTAAAATCCAAAACAGCCACTGCTTGTAAACATTCAAAATGGCTGTGCCCTCGGTCACTTTAAATATCCAAAATGGCCACCTCTTGTAAACAATCAAAATGGCTGCACCCCCTGGACAGCCAAAAGTCCACAGCTCAGGTTGTCTCCCTCCTTGCTGTTTCCCTTCCTAGTCATAGACCACCAGCTCAGTCGTGCCTGCAGCCTTTGGTGAACAGGGCTGATCTTTAGGTCAATTCTCAGGTCCCAACACCACATGGAAATATTCAGGTTGTTGGTCCCATCAGAGTAGCTGACAGTCCACTGCTCCAACTATCTCTGTACCCACTGATTTCATTCAGGTTTTTCCACTAGTGGGTGCCTCATCCACTTCTGAACACTTCGTTTCAAAGCTCAGGGCTCTAGGATTATCTTCTGTGTTTCTGTCAATTGGTTTCTCTTTTCTTTGTTAAAGAGGGTTTGTGTAGCTTGTCTGCCTATTCCACCATCTTACTGGAAGTCCCACTGGGAGGCAGATTTTTAATTATTTCAGTTTCTTACTAGTTACAGATTTATTTTATGTTCCCTATGTCTTACTGAGGAGCTCTGGTAGCGTAGTGCTTAAGGCACTTGACTGCTAACTAACCAGAAGGCTGGAGGTTCAAACCCACCAGCCACTCCTCAGAAGGAAGGTTGGGCAATCTACTTCTGTAATGATACCACCTCGGAAACCCAAGGAGGGGTTGCTATGAGTCGGGTTTGACTCAATGGCATATAACAACAACAACATGTCTTAGTGAGTTAATTTATAAATTATAGTTTCTAGAAAATTGTTAATTTTACCCAAGTTTTAAAATTAATCAACATAAAAGTTATTCATGGAATAACTTTTCTTCCATTCTATTTTTAATGAATATAATTTACATACCAATAAAAAAAATCACTCTTTTAAAATATATACTGTTTTTCATTATGTTACTTTTTCTTGCTAGTCTTACCAAGTTTACAGTTTGATTCCTACTTTACCTATCTCTGCTCTTATATTTATTATTTCTTTCTTCCTAATTTATCACTCTGCTGGTCTTTTTCTTAATTCTTAAGTCAGACCCTTAGCCCACTAATTTTCAGTTAATGTTATTCTCTAATATAAATATTTGAGGGCTTAAAATTTCTTCCAAGCACTGTTTGATGCTGAGCAACTTTTTATGTGCTTATTGGCTATTTGTATATCTTTTTAGGAGAAATGTCTATTCTAGTCCTCTGTCCATTTTTCATTTGGGTTGTCTGTCTTTTTTGTCATTGAGTTTTTTTGGTTTTTTTAAATTGTGATTTGGGTGAAGATTTACAGAGCAAATTCACTTTCCATACAGCAGTTCACATACACTTTGTCTCATGGCATTGACCACAGTTTACCAC